GATGTAATCGATTGAATCATTTTCACAAACTTTTCGACATTAGTTTGTAAGGGTTTTGCAATATATTTATCCAATGGATTATCGCTGAAACAAATTTATCACCATAAATTAATTTAACAAACTATGCTCGATCATTCTTACCACAAATATAAGTCAAATAGCTCCTGGCCAATTTCACCCAGGCTATAAACGTCAGCCTTGCAAGTATAGCGCGATTGGTGTACCTCTGGTGCCATGTATTTAAAAGTTCCCACATTTGTCGAGTGGCTCATGGATGCCATGTTGTGAACGGTAGCCAAACCAAAGTCGCATAGCTTAACGAATCTACCGTTTCTCACGTCCTTAGCAATCAATATATTGTCGGGTTTGAGGTCCCGGTGAATGACCGGTGGATCCAAATCATGCAAATACTGGACACACTCCAGGAGTTCCCGAAATATCTCGCACGACAGGTAATACTCGTATATATTCATAGGATCTCCCTTTTGGCGACCGAACGCCTGGCCTTTGACCGAAAGCATAGGCTTCAGACTTTGGGAACAGTACTCCATCTGAATGTAGAGGTGTTTGCCTTCGAGCCATGAGTTGTAATACCGGACAACAAAGTCTGACCGCATTTTCGCCAAACTTGTCAACTCTTTCAGCACTCGTTGTTTGGGTTCATCACCGAAATCTGAAATTTAATAATTTATTTACATTTTTGTTAGAAATATACAAAACTAATACATGAACTCTGTTTTCATGACTTAGTCACGTAAAAGCAGAGTTCATGTACAGGTTGTGTAAATCCCTAACAGATACAGTATATAATTTAGATAATTGTTTGACCATGTTAACCTTTAATCTCTATTTGTTTAATCGCGTAAATCTGTTCATCCAGCAAATGCTTAACTTGTAATACCGTGCCAAATGCCCCCGATCCAATTGTATCCAGAACCTCGAATTCTCTCTCGTAAATGTTTTCTAATTTTAAAAATTAAAATCAACGATTATTTGAATATTTAATTCCNTCTGTTCATCCAGCAAATGCTTAACTTGTAATACCGTGCCAAATGCCCCCGATCCAATTGTATCCAGAACCTCGAATTCTCTCTCGTAAATGTTTTCTAATTTTAAAAATTAAAATCAACGATTATTCGAATATTTAATTCCAATACTAGTTCAGTATTTATATTTAAAAGTACCCTCGCTCAATTTCCCACTATTTGTTGACTGTATACTTAAACGTTTGCTTAAAACTCTTTGTGTGGTCCTTGATTGCTGATTATCTATAAAATGTTAAGGTTAAATTTATCATGGCCAAAAATAAGTACAAGCGAGCTAGTACCATTACTCGTCGAATCCAACCTAATCCGTGATACCACTTCGTTAATATCAGGCTCATTGTGAATCACTTTTAACGTGTTATAAGTAATCTGATATTCGCTGGCATAAAAGTCCTCAAAGTTATTGTACCTTGTCTCATTCATACCGTTAGTATTCAGTATTTTGAATATCTTATCATTTCTTAATACAAACATAAAATCCGAGTAATTATACGATAAAATGTGCGATAAGTCTGTCATTGTATACGTAGATTGCACTTTAACCGGAGGTTTCTGTGCTAGCTCATAATTATTTGTGTAATATTTGCCACAAAAATACAAATAATTAGTGTNAAATGTGCGATAAGTCTGTCATTGTATACGTAGATTGCACTTTAACCGGAGGTTTCTGTGCTAGCTCATAATTATTTGTGTAATATTTGCCACAAAAATACAAATAATTAGTGTTTGACAAAAAATAAGTCATATAAAGTGACGTGGATATCATCTTAATGCCAGATAAATTCATAATTAATTGCGGGGTAAACACAAACTCATCAGGGATATTATGACCTAGCTGGCTATCTATGTTGAAACCCCAACTAAATACCTGTCCATCGCTGGTTATAGCAAATGACACTGATAAATTAGCGTAAATAGTTTTGATTGCGTAGTTGCTTGCAAATTTGATCAAGGTTGGCTGAGTAATATACTCGGACCCGGTGACACCACAGCCTACCTGTCCAAAGCTATTGCGACCCCAGGCGTACACCTGTCCCACAGCGGTGAGGGCTAAGGTGTGGAGTAAACCGCAACTGATTTGCGAAACATTTTTGTTATCAAAAAATGCTATTTTGTTTGGCTTTAGATAAACGCCTTCTGGGGTCACATCCCGGGCTAACTGACCCTCACTATTATGGCCCCAACTATAGACCCTGTTGCCGTCATCTATGGCCAGTGCGAATGAATATCCGGTGATAAATTGTGCTAGCTTATTACCACATAGATCCGGGATCAGCTCAGGTGTGTCGACAGGGGTGTTATGACCCAGACCTAGGCTGCCGTCGCAATTAGATCCCAATCCGTACACTAAATCATTGTTTGTTACGAATAATACGGTTTTCCCTTTCGAGTCGTCGAAAACGTGGATTAAAATAATTTTTTGTCTAATATTTTCCTGTATTTTGGCACAGATTTTAAATTTATCTAATATTTGTGACATTGTTGTGTCTAGCCAAACACTATAATAAATTAAGTAATGTGTAATAAAGTTATTTATCAAACACTTATAGTTGTGAACACATTATGATTTTATCATAATAGAAATACCTTTATAATTAGTCATCACAGTTTTGTATGTTTTATAAATACTGTATTTTTAAATGTCAATCTAAAAACTGATATTTATTAATTTATTAATTTTATAATGCTTACGACTCATTGGTTCGTCTTNCACATTATGATTTTATCATAATAGAAATACCTTTATAATTAGTCATCACAGTTTTGTATGTTTTATAAATACTGTATTTTTAAATGTCAATCTAAAAACTGATATTTATTAATTTATTAATTTTATAATGCTTACGACTCATTGGTTCGTCTTTGCAAATCATACCATGGTCAATATATGAATAAATATGTTGTTTGAACCTTAAACAACATGGTGAAAATATATTGTGCTAAGAAAAATTATAACTATTTTAAATTAATTTTTATAGTTAAACACTACCTCCTTTACATAAGCAAAAATAACATGGGATTAAGGTTTACATATAACGCTACTGTTATTAAGCGTTGGTGACTAGGCGCTCATAACATAACAGTTTAACTATAAAAATTAATTAACAATCATTGTAACTTTCGTTAATAGAGATAGATTGTTATATTTTAACTATTTTGTTGTACATTATTAGCAATGTCATATTAATTAAAATTATTTTAACTTTATTTTAAGTACTGTTTTTATAAGGTTGTTGACTAAATTGTCTTATGGTTATGCATTAATTATCAGTAGTTGGTACGATATAGTTGCTATATTAGGTTATCAATTAATAATCATTTAACATTAATTTTGTTAACTATTGCAATATGTAAAGAAAAAGTGAAAATATTTAATTTTGCAATTTAATTACTATTACGACTTTATTTCAACCTATTTTAAATGTAGCTGTATTTAGAAACTAACAAAATAATTAGCCTTGACCCTTGATCATACTGTATTTAATAATTTTATAAATATTCTATACTGTGGTAGGTTACACAATTAAAATAGATATGATTTGTAATCGTTAATTACTAGAGATGTATATACAAAACAAACTCAATTTATGTAACAATTTTATTAATTAATGATCTCAAAGTTTATAATCGATTCGGAATTTGATTTTTCTATATCCAGGATGATTTAACGAAATGAGTCTTTTAACTCTTGTTTCAAATGACTGTAATAGTGCTAAACAATACTGCTTTCATTTGAAAGAAAAGTTGAAAGACTCATTTCGTTAAATCATTCTAGATATTTGTTTTATGCGTATAAAATTATATACATTAATTAAATACCTTTACCATATATGAAAATAAAAACTAATGAACGCGAAAGTCTAACTAGTCATAGCAATACTATGTATTAATTTGTGATTATAGTAATACAATATTATAGTAGCTACATCATAATAACTATTTTAATAACTATCTACCATACGTATCAGTGTATACGTATACTGTATGAGTGCCAATACTAAAAGTAGTATTATACACATTTCTATTCCAAATGCAAAAATAATAATCCGTGTATATAACAATATATATTGGTATATTTGTTAAAAAAAGTTTTTGATTTTTATTGTTCTTAAGTTTAGTTTAATTATTAACACAAAATGGATTATGATAACAAGCTTTGTGAAAAGGTATGCATTTTATAAGTTATTTTAAAATAAGGCTTTAGTTTTAATCTAATGAAATCAATAATTTGAAAATTATTTAAATAACTTAATTAATCAAAGTTTGTTACACTAGTAAATAGGGGTATCAGGGTGTAATTAAATGTTGAATGAATTACTCAATAAAAAAATTTAACTAGTAAAAAAATAGTTTACACAAATAGTGAACGTAGTAAATAACAAAAGTATTTGATATATCGGTAAAAACTTATTTATGAAAGCTACTTTATTCATCCCTAAATATTTTTGTTTATATGAAAGCTATCGTCTATTGGTGTTATTGAAACTCCAAAGGAATATCCGAAGGACTCTTTGGACAGATTTGGTGATGACTTGTGTGGACTCGTATTGTCTTACCCGTTGAGTTTCATGTATTACAAATTATTACAAATAGTAATACCTATAGCATTAATAAATGTCAATGCTACCTACTTTTGAAACACAATGGTCTTACCTATCATTTTAAGACTGTTTCGGATTTGAATGTCTGTCCAAACGCAGCGATTGGTATTCACGAAAAGACATTCACTCGTAGTTAATATAAACTTAATAAACGAAATGGAGATAATGGAGGGATTAAGGAATGGATGTTTTGATTGGGAAGCATTGGAATCAATGGTCACAAAGTGTGCAAATATTACATCCATTGATGTGACAATCAATTCATACGCGACGGCAATAGTATTTACAATACTCATGAATTCATACAAACACTTGAATTCAATTCACGTCCGGTTTGAGTACAAAACTGATGTCAATATAA